TGGCGATATTGCCCATCCTCACGTATCACTTCCACGCCCGTCGCCGGTAGTCAAACTTCCACCGGCTCCTGTCCTTGCACCAATTGGTCCTCCTAAACCAACATCCTTCGCCCAAGCAGTGCAGTCACCCGCAGTTCCTATTGTCTCGCACAACTCTGCGTACCCACCTCGCCAGGACTATACAACGAGAGCTAATTCTTCCTATCAAGACATTCGCCGACAAGAACCTACCGCGGGAGGATGGCAGGACAGAATAAACTCGCTGATTGGCCGGAAAAATTCTCCCCCCAAGTCTCACGCGCTGACAGTCGATTCTTCAAGCAAGAACGCCCTCGAGCTTACGAACCGCCAATTCGGCGCAACTGTCTCGCTCCCGGCTTTGGGCTTGGGGGATGGTGCACCAGACAATGGAGCTGTTGAGTCTAAACCAGCTGCAGAGGCATGCTTTGAGGAGCAAGAAATGGGATCTTTACCTGTTATCAAGGTTCCAAATTCTGCACCTTCGGCAGCTTGGGATTTGGCGCCCTCGCAGCCCAAAAACCTACCTCGGAAATTCCAAGTCTCCCAAGTCCTGAGCATCGAACCAATTCGCTTCCCTCAACAAATCGCAAACAATAGTGAGACTATTACGATTAAGGTCCCGGGACAAAATGAATCAAAGGAGGTCTCAGTTTCGATTCCGGTTGCTCGACAACGAAGCAATCCGAGACGAGGTGGATCGCGAGGTGGCACTCCCCGACATACATCATCTTCTCATCCAAGAGGTGGCCGTGGACGAGATTCGTCGAACGGATTTCCATCTCCAAATCATGATAGCGCACCGGCTTCTTCGGGCCCAAATACTTCTGGTCGAGGCGGACGAGGAGCTCGAGGATATGGGACCAGCTGGGGCCGTCATAGCTCCACACCAGTCCACACTTGATCAAGCTTATTTGACGCATAGTCATAGGAGGTCTATTTTCTCACTAGAGGAACGAACATATAGACTCCTACTGTAATGATTTATTTTCTTTCTACACGCAAACCCACTTTCACACTACACTTGTAACTGAATCTTATGAGCGAATTTGTCGCGTCAGCGGCTGTTGCAATCTGCATACAGCATGTACATTGCCTTGGGTGTTTTGAGCTTGCTTTCTTGAAGCTCGCTGGTGTGGCAGTGAAGTGGCGCGTTCGTTCAGGCAGGATCAGAAATTCCGCTTAGTCAGGACATGAACTTTACCGCGGAAAGTTTGCTCTGGCTTCACAGCTTATCAAAAGCATTATCCCAGACGCAATAATGTGCCACTAAAATACAACACTTTAAAACGCCCTTTTTTCCCCGAACGAAACAGTAATCGTGAGTATAATCGACATACGTATTTTCTGTGCTGAGAGCTACATCTTAAATTCTTGTGATGATGAACGTGCATATTCCGTGCTCGATTTCCCTGTATCAGTCCTTCTTCCCAAGACCCGTGTGAATCCCAAATCTCCAAAACCAGCATTGTACATCCCATTTCGCGCCAGTCTCTTCAGCCACTTCCTGCCACAGATGTTTGAAACTCTCCGGGTTGTGCTCCCAGATGCCACCGCCAGATTTGGTAGTTGACTTCACATTTGCACCCGTATGATAACCAGCTTGCAAGTGCCCTGTCATCCTAACTGTCACCATCACGCCTGTCTCTCGCTTCAGTAGTCTAATAAAGCGTTTTATAAGGGCCTTTTGATCCTCAAGCCCGAAAACATGAATGAGATGTGTAGCATTAATGACATCCAACTCCCCCTCTGAACCTCTCAATCCGGGATCACCCTCATTCAGAATATCAGCAGCAATAAAGCGACTCTCAGGAATGATCTTCTCGTCTCGGAAGAGCTTATATCCAAAATCGAAATACTCCCTGTGTAAGTCTGTCCCGTAGACGGAAGTTGCAGGCGCTCCGTCATGGATGAGTTTCCGCACGTCTTGGGCGAACATACAACCCACATCAAGGAATTTACCGCCGTTCTTGAGTGTTTGGATGATTATCTCGTACGATGATTTGATTGTTCTCGTGATTTCTGGGTCGTATTTTGGGAGGTCGTCGCCGCTGAGACCGAAATCTAGCCAGACGAAGAGGCCGATGGAGGGGTATGGGTGGTTCCCATGCATCATTTCGCTGTTAACGTGAGTGTGTATGGAATGATATGGCATCAATGGGAAGTTTACCACGGCTTGTAGATGCTTGTTTACTTCATTCTCGGGTATGTTGCTGTAATCAGCAAGTAAATTTCTGAAAGCTGTTGTGGGCGGTCGTTCAGACAATGGGAGGTAGAAAGCTTGGCTCTTTGATTTGATGTCTGAAGACATATCGAAAGTGTTATATTATTTCGGGATATGGGATTCACTTGATGGAATTCGAGCATATGTTAACGCCTACTGCATTTCGTCATAGTTTTCTTTCGATAAACTAATTGTACTGGCGCAGTCCCACAGCCACATGGTAGGATGGATCCACAGTTCGGCAGATGGTAGTCGACCTCATTCAAAATTTGTATTACCTTCCCACCAACGGTCATTGGAACTCTCCTAAGTCTTGTTTCACAACCTGCTTGTCCGCCAAGATATCCATCGATTGCGAACCAGCGCCACCTCCAACCTTCTTAACCACTCTCGCCAATCTCACAATCGACTCTTCCAGATCGCTCTCCTCCTCCCAAGAAAAGCAAAGTCTTAGGGAGTTTTTGAACTGGACACTCGAATCTTTCGAAACCTCAAATATATGCCCCTGAGCCACGATTAAATTCTCGTCCCTCTTTGCTCTCTCTGCCACTATCTCTGCGCTCGTGGTTTGTGGTAGTTCGAGCCAGATGAAGTAACCACCAAATACGGCTTTGCCTTCGATGCTGACTTCCCCGACTTTTACTCCCAACGGAATGAGATGCTTCTGGATGGCTTCGATCATGATTTCATATCTTTTCTTGTATGCAGGATTCAACACTTTCTCAATGTGAGATTGTAGATCTCCGTTCTTGAGCAGTTCCGACATCATGGTGGCGGCCAACCTAGAAGTGTTAGAAAGGAACTCTGAGTAACTTCCTCTAGTAAGGGTACAACCCCCTTCCAAAACTTGGCCAAATAGAAGTCTCTGACACAGATATGGAGATTGAGAGAGGTCAGATAACTTACTGGCTTGGTGCACCTCCACTACGAGAAGAGCCACATTGTGATAAACCATACGTAAACCTCGGGGTTGACTCTGACCATCCCGTTCTGACGCCTGGACCTGCAATCTTTGAAAACGACCCGTTCGACATGGCATTTCCGAAACCGTCCTCGGAAGGCACTGGTTCCAGCGTTCGATCCAGGTCGATTAGTCGAGGCAACAATGCTTTCGACAACGAACTGGCTGAAGTTGTCGAAGAGGTGGGAAATTGCAGAAAGTCGTAAACGTCGTCCGTGATGATCAGAGCGTCATATTTTCGTGCCAATCTAACAAGAGACTCCCGAGTTGCAAGAGTCATGGTTTTGCCGGATGGGTTGGAGAAGGTTGGGACGCAGTAGATGATGTTCCTGTATATCTTTGACCAGGGAGTCGAGCGTTTCAGGGTCTGTCTTTCGTTAGCTCTGGATGTATGGCTTAACCCATGCTATCTCAACAAGATTAAACTACATACTTTCGATTCTCCATTCTCACGGCTAGACTTCTCCAATTCCCTCTCTAGCCTAACCAAATCAATGCCACCGCTTCCCTCCTCAACAGCCCTCATCTTCAAGCCTGCATCCTCAAAGATCCTACACGCCAAAAAGTAACACGGAGCAACCATCCAAACCTTGGTCTTCAAAGGATCCGTGTACACTTGAAGAACACATGCTAGATTCTGGCTCGCACCACCCGTGATACAGATGCGGTCTGCGTCTGAATCACCACCGTAGAAATCACTGAGCCATTTGGCGATCTCCTCACGCAGAGGTTGAAATCCTGGATCTGGGCCGTAGAGGAGACCGGGTGTTGATATTGAGGGGTCGGATAAGGCTGACTGGGCTGCTCGTAGGATTGCTGGGGTGGGGAGCAGAGAGGGGTTTGGCCAGCCGCGGAGGAGGTTGATGGGTTTTTTGATGGTCATTCTATGCGTATTGTGAACTGCGAAGCAGTTGAGAATGGTCTTGGATAACTTGGGCTTAAAAAGAGAAAGTTTAGGTACTTTAAGTAAAGTCGTGGAAGTAGATGAAAATTACAAGATGGATGGATGAATGGATGAATGGATACTGGAATAGTGGGCCGCCTGGGGCAAGACTAGATAGAGCCAGCACTTTCGCCACTTGCACTTTCACACGAACTGAGTCAGTGTCTGAGAAGAAGACGTCAAAATGAGGGAGAGCGAGTAATTCGGGAAGTAATTAGGTTCTCGAAGTGGCTAGCTACCCGAGTGAGTGAGATATCATCTAGCAAACAAATACGAGAGACTCTCGAGATTCTGCCGAATTCCAAGGTATAAAAAGCTCCCTCCGTCCCTCCGTCCCTTCCTGCCTGGCTTAGCACAGCACAGACACGATGAGGCTCGCGTGTGCTATGGCGGCCACCGCATTGGGCCTGTTGTGCTACTTTCCGGAGCAGCATAGCGAAGGAGAGACAGAAGAGCACTCGCAGCTTTACAAAGGGGAGCCGGACATTTCTTACGACTTAGGGAGGTACGTAATAGTCGGTTCCCTTGTGTGAAGCTGCGGGCACTCGCTTACAGTCGGTGAAAGCGAGTTGTCGCTGGAAAGCAAGTGTCGCGCATCTAAAAAGCACCTAATTTGTAAGCGAAAATTAAGAAAATTATTACTTTTAGAGCTCAAATATACTTATTATACAATAATTACAACTTTTTTTTGTTAAGAATTTAAAGAAAAGCTATATTATTAAATAAAAAGGTCTTTACCGTTCTTTTTATATACGCGACACTTGCTTTCCGGCTATACTTGCTTTCCCAGACTGAGCGCCAACAGGAAGGGAACAGACTATTTATTAGAGGCCAAAAATGCAAAAATGAATGACTGATCAGGCTGGGGCTCGATCCCAGGACCTTCTCGGAGTATGTCACAGTAAACTGTTAACGAGATGTGCTGTGAAGGTGTTAGTAGAGATTGAAGTGATTGCATGAAGTAGAACGTACATAACCAACTACACCACCCGACCTTTGTCATGCTTTCGGGGACCTTATTTCGGAATGTATCAAAAACAAATTTCTGGTGTATTTTCCTCGGCTGAAGTGACCGCTCAAAGGGTAGCTTAGTCCGACATCGGTGGGACATGCAGCACCAAGGCAGTACGAGCTGGTGCATCGCAGGCTTGAGAAGGTCCACAGGAATTGCTTCACATGTGCTTGACTATAGCCCCGAGCTTGATGGCAGAACTTAACGGCCTTTCATGTCTTGCGAAGTAATCTGCTTCAGGGGTTTGTGCATCTACCAGTCTGTATTGTACTGCTCCAGCCAGACCCTTTATCACCTCAACGAATCGCGAAAACAGCTCCCTGGCTGCCTGTCCTGCTCACATCCTCCCCCACAGACAAATCGAAGACATTGATACTTCTGATGTACATAGTATAGATTCATCTAATTCATCAATCGCTTTATACACAGCTTATCTAACTCTTCAGATCATTCAAACAGAAAAGATCACTAGCAAACATTCCCACCCTATCCTTTTGTACACTATCTTCACTACACCCCCCAATCTCCCTTCTGAAAATGCTACTGTAGTCGATAGCACGTTTTCTAAACTCATCAACATCAGCTAGTCCGCCGTCCCAAGTCAAGAGAGGCATTTCCGACAGTCTAGGCAGCTCGCCTTTCTTTGGCAAGATACTCAGCAGCGAGGTCTTGACGATCATCTTCTCCTTGTCCCTAAGCGAGAGGTGCTCTTTGGGGTCTGCAGTCAATTCTCCAGGCTCCGCTGCGTCTGCTTTCATCTCTTCCGAGTATTCCTCCGGAGGTTTGAAGAGATCGTGATGAAGAGCTGCGAGGGAGTGCTGACTGTCGATATTTGGATATATCGTCCAGTATCCGCGAGCGCGAACAAGCTTCAAGACATGCTCGAGCCAGGAAGGATAGGTTTTACTCACCAATTTCTCGTTGAGCGTTGTGGGTGTTGGTAGCGCATGCTGGGAAGAAAGTAGTTGTCCAACGAAATCGTGAATTTCCACCCATTTGTCGCCAAAGTACAGAGCAGCATTGCTATTTGGTGCCTGCCACAGGAAAGGTGTAACACCGGTCGAGACTACACTGTCGCCAACGGTAGAATTTCCTACGGGTGGAGCGAACGAACTCGAATCGTTCAAGTACGTTGATGGCAAGTCGAGACTGATGCCCATGAGGAATTGCCGAAGGTCCCCTCTGTTGTTAGAGTACATGTATTCGAGAATGTTGTACTTCAGAAAGTGGAAGAACAGAGGCGACAGTTCAACCATTGGTGATAGCACAAGAACATGGGACATGAATGGATCAGCTGGCCAAAAGGACTCGAGAAATCGAATAGAGTTCTCTTCTGCTGTGAGCCCATGTTGAGGGATTCGGTGATGTAAAGTGAGCATGCTTCCTGTCTTATGATCAGGAATTGGAGGCCAGCGGAAATGCTCGAGATATCTTCTCGTTGGTTCATCGATATCGTGGGATAATTCGATCGTCAGTCGAGGGAGTGCAGATGAGGAGAAATCAGCCTTCTTAAGTGATTGTAGCAGTCTAATCAAAGAACCAGATGCCGAAGGCTGAGCATGTATTACTATGTCAACAGACACTTTGTTCCAGGCTGATTCAATTAGCATGTATTTGCCAGTGTCCGGACCCCACGTACCACTTAGAGAAGCACTGTCCAGCAGGTTTAGCCACATCAGATTCTTTTCCACGTTGTCGGGTAGTTCAATTACTGTCCTCCCCAGCGTAACTGCACGATCATTGAGGCCCCTTGTAAACCAGAGCTCTTCCTCTCCAGAGCCATCTATCAGAGTCGCCTGGGGGTGTATGAAAGTGTTGATGTGTCCAAAAGCAGCTGCGCTACTCACTTCCATGCGAAAGTCGGAACTTTGGCTGGAATAATCTGGGCGAGCGTCTGAGTGTGTGAGAGCGTGCCCAGAGAGCGTGCCCAGAGAGCTTGGATTAAGACTTACCGTGGAACATTATCTTGCACTCCTTCGTGATACCATTCACAGACTGCAGAATATCCATTGGTATCTCGTCTCTGCCCATCAGAGCAAAATGTACGAAGTTCCTTTCTCTAATTGCCATGTCGCAGGCAATTGGTAGAAGTATCGCGGCGCTTTTGAGACTTGCAGCTGCAAAGAGCACATTGTTATTGATCAACTCGGACCCTCTAGTTCTCGAGGCCGCATGCAGACTGGAGGCAAGGTGGTAGAATTTTATCGGACCATTGAAGTCGTGTTGGGGCACTTCCACATTATCTTTCTGGCCTGACTTGGGAGCCGTATCCTGCCCCTTAGGAGGACTTGGAGGATGTCGGTTTGGAGCAGGAGGAGGAGGGCCGTAGTTCGGCCTTTGCCTTGGACTCTCAAGATCCGTGGGCATGTTCTTGAAGAAATAGTAGAATCCAATCAATACGAGTATCCCCAAAGCTATCCTCTTCAGAGTCCTCCGATGAGGTTTGTGAGGGATCTGCCGGTGCTGCCAGGCAATACCCAGTCCCACACCACTCTTCGAGCCAGGCCTGTGATCGTCATCTCTCTTCCCCAGCTCCACGTCGCCTGGAAAGAGTCGTGGTGGCATAGGCATTGCGTTGTATGGCGTTGCGTGTTCTTCCCACGCTCATCCAGAGCTTATACTGTAGGGACAGCTGCCATACGGTTCATGGGTAGGTGTGTGGCTGCTCGCAGGGAGCTCGATAGCAGATCTGCAGTGACGAAGCAGAGGAATTCAGTCGTTGGGAGGAATCATGGGTTGGGCTTGTTGGGGGCTAAGCTGGGCTGTGATGGCTGGCTTGCTTGCTTGGTTGCTTGCGTGCTGATCCAGACCGCAGAGAGGGTAATACTGTAGGGCGTCCGTTAGAAGGAACAGGCATGCACGGGAAGCATGGAGAGAATGCGAATGCGAATGGGGAAGCGTGAATGGATTTGAGCTTCGTGGTGTACTGCGCTGTGTCGGGGTTGGGGGTTGGGGGGTTTGGTGTTGTATTTGGTTGTTGAAGCTACTCGCGAAGCTATTGATGGTACTGAGTTGGGGGAGTACTGTAGATACAAGTACAGTAGTGGGTGGGGGTGGGGGAGCTTTGCTCAGACCCAATTCAATATAATAACAACAATGATGACCAACCGATCGTCACGCACGGCTATTACTGTATGTATATTTTAGATAGGCAGGTACGGTATGCGGAGGTATATATACGGAGATACATATACGGAGGTACAGACTGTTCTCCTGTCCTGTCTCCTCTCCTCTCCTCTCCTCTTCTCTCCTGACACCCGCCCCCCCACTTGACTTGGCCTTGGCCTGTTACAATTAATTACATTACATGACCTGTACGGACAGTACTTGCTTGCTTGCTATTACTACTCTCATTCTTACCTACCTATGAACTAACTGCCTTGCTTTGCCTTGCTCTGCCTTCCTCCTTCTATCCTTATTCATGTCATAGCCAGACTTCTTCTACGAAACGTTGTCCTATCTCCTAACCATCCATCTCATCCCATCCCATCTATCATCATCATCATCATGAATTCTCCCGAGAGCTCCAGTAAGTCCGATGCAGTCCAGTCCAGTCCATTTTGTTGGTGGTCTTGCCTTAGGTCGTCTTTAGTGATGCGCCGTCGCCCACGGTAGCGTGCGCGCGCACTTGTATAGTATTCTGGACTGGCAGCCTCGCTGACGAGAAATATATATTTGTTCACAGCCGCCTTTGCATCTCGATCCTTTGAAGGCAGCACAACGCCACCTCCTTTAGCAGGCAATCCTCCAGCTTTGACCAGAATGGCGTCCCTAGGCAATATCCCCCAGAATGACAAGTCCAAATCTTTCGAGTACATATCCCCCCAAATTCCCCTCTCAAGGCGCGCGCAAACACGACTGACTCATTCTTGATGTAGCATTGTCGAAACATACAACCGTCTCCTGCGAGAAGACCCCGAGATCACTATGCCGGTCGCAGCAATTGAGGCTTTGATCGAGCTTCTTGTACAATCAAGCGCCGACACTGTCTACGAGTTTCTCGATCTGGTCAAGACCCAATCCGACTACCTGAAGTCCCGAATCCCCAACTCCATTTCCCTTTCCGCCGGTACGGATTTATTCCAGCGCTACATGATCAGCTCGATGAAGCCTACAAGCACTGGTGACTTCGAGACGGTACGACAACACCTGTTAAGCAACGGAAGACTTTTCGTGACTCGGGCGAAGGCTGCCAGGGAGAGAATTGCTGCATATGGAAGGCACTTTGTCCGTGACGGAAGTGTAGTCCTGACACACGGCGGATCGAGAGTTGTCGGTACACTACTTGGGAAGGCGGCAGAGGCCAGCAAAACCGGAGGCAACGTCAGATTCAAAGTCATATATGTGATGAATGAAGCGCGTAGGGCAGAAAGCAAGGCTGTTGTGTCTCTGTTGAGGGCGAAGGGTGTCCCAGTTGCCACAATCGGCGAGGGCGCCGTAGGCTATGCGATGGGCAAGGTCAACTTGGTAATTGTTGGTGCTGAAGGTGTCGTTGAGAATGGAGGGATCATATCGAGGCTGGGCACCTACCAAATTGCTTTGCTGGCAAAGGCGGCTGGAAAGCCATTCTACGTTGCTGCGGAAAGGTATGTATGGTTCTATCTTTGTCCTGGGCCGGAGGAACCTGGGAATTGGTCTAGAAGCACCCTCTTCTAAGTCCCCTTCTCTCCCCATTGAAAACCATCTTATCTAATAGTGCTAATATTTCGCAGTCACAAGTTCGTTCGGCTTTATCCTCTGGGCCAATACGATCTCGGCATCGACCAGCAGGTTATCGAATTTGAGACGGAGGACAAGAAAGACTTGACGGATGACGAGAGAAAATTCGTGGACAGGACACCAACTAAAGAGTATTTCGGAAAGATGGATCTACCCAAACCAAATACCGCAGTAGATGCTGTTGACTTCACAGTAAGTCTGGATTCTGATGTCTTCAGAGTATGCTAATGTTCGGACAGCCACCAGCCCTTGTTTCGGCACTCA